GGCACATGCAGCACCTGGGGATGATTGCACAGGACACCTGCCTGCTCCTCGGCTCCGGTTTATGGGGACTTGGGCAGGCAATCAGGCAGGGAGGAGGGCTCAGCCCTACCCATGGGCAGCTTGGCTCCTAGGGACCCGTGGGCAAGGTCTGGGGGACAGGGGCTGGGCCTCTGCTGCTGCTCCACCAAAGGACCTGGAGCAAGGTGGAGTCCCTCTCCGGCCTCAATTCCCCTTGGGGACTCATGAAACCACTGCCTCCTTTCCCTCTGTACGCAGTGCAGACTCAGGGCCAGAACTGGCTGTAGAAGACGGCTCCTGCAGGCCCAGTGGTTCGTGGTGGCCCAGCAGCCGGTCACCACTGGGAGGCATCAAATGCCAGACCCACTAGCAGGGATTTTATCTGGAGGCAAAGGGGAGCCATTGTAGGAGTCAGCGCAGAGGTGGGAGGTGGTCAGATGAGGCTGCCACCAGGGGCCTGGAGCTGGGAGGTCAGAGGGGTGGAGGATGGCATCGTCCGGGTGAGAAAGGAGGCCACCCTTGGACAGCAGCTGGGGTCTGGAGGAGGAGGGGAGAGGGAGTAAGGTCTAATGGAGGCTGAGTGGATGATGGGGAAAGGGAAATAAAGAGATTGGAAGTGCAAGCACTGGAGTTGGCTGCCGGCTTGATGCATGACACCTCCTCTCCCAGTGCTGGATCTCTCTGTTCTGGAAGGAAGCCGTGGACCTGATGGTGTGTTAACTGCCTCTCCCCACCCCCTATCTCGTTCTTTGAAGGAGTCCCTGGGTGATGCAAATGGTTAAGTGCTCAACTACTAACAGAAAGGTTGGTGGTTTGAACCCACCCAGAGGTGCCTCGGAAGAAAGGTCTGGCAATCTGCTTCCAAAAGGTCACAAGCTTAAGAACACTATGGAGCACAGTTCTATTCTGCATACACAGGATCATCATGAATCAGAATCGACTGTTTTTGGTACTGGTTGTTCTTTGATCATAACGAAACAAAAACAAAGTTGGAACAGGGTCAGTGCAGAAAGAACCTTCCTGCTAGCCTCTCTGGACACCCCAGCACCAAACGCTTAGGATGGAGGATGCCCCAAGTTTGGCAAGGAACCCCTGGGACCAGCAGGTGGAGTACATACCTGGACAGCAGAGGGGCTGGTGAGGATGCAGGTAGCCCTTGGGGCAGTTCCGATGGCCAAGGGCAGCCCCGTGAGCCAGCGATGGCAGCACTGGGCAGAACTTCAGCCAAGAAGCTGGATGCTAGTCAGTATCACCATGTCTTACTGGGGAATGCCAGCTCTGAAACTGTGCCCACTGCTTAAGGAAATGAAACTCAGAAAGAAGAAGGGAAGAGAACACCCTGCCTGGATTTCGAGAATTCCCCTGCTGCAGTCAGCCGCAACCCTAAGCTAAGCCCTTGGCCTCTTCTCCTCCAGCCAGCTGCTGAACACCCAGGCTGTGATCTGTGCCTTTGCCTGGCTTGTCTGCTCCTGAGGAAGACAGAAGCCCCCACGAATCGGATCTCTCCTGGCTTTCCCCATTTGTCCCGTGGACTGTCTCTAAGCCCCAGTTTCCTCATCTGTGAAATGAGGCTATCGTAGTGCCTACCTTAGACGGCCGATGGGAGGAATAGAAGAGACCATGTGCAGGGGCACAGCATATACCATCAGCCTGTACATCCTGGCTCCGGGTTATGTTATTGAGTCTTACCTGGGCCCTGAGAGGCGGATACACTCTGCCCATTGTGCAGAAGAGGAAAACTGAGGCTCAGAGAGGTTAAAAGGACTTCCCATGATCACCCTGCAATTCTAACTGTCAAACTCCCAACCCTGGGTTCTCTCCAATAGCAGTGTGGAAAAAATTGAGTGGGCAGGTAGGAGGGTGGTGGGAAGCAGGAGCCAGATACCATTTGCTTGGCCTGAGGGAGGGGAACCCAGCCCCCAGTCCTCTCCTCCCATCTCTCCTGGCTTGTCTCCTCCACTAAGGACTCAGGTCTGCAACCCCTGTGAGCACCCC